TCAACTTGGCTGGACCACAATTCTGGGTAGTTTAAGCAATTGTGGTGTGGGTTGTTCCCATGATGGATCAGATGTATATGTTTTGAGCAGCCAATCCATTGAAAGGAAGTTTCCCTAGGGGTGTGGCCTGCCTCCAGTATATTTATGGACATCCTGGGAAAAGAGACATTCTTCTGTGGATTGGGATTCTGTTGTGCTGCCTATAACAGTCCATGAGTGAACAATCCACCATTCAGCCTGGAGATCTTGGATTCGTCGTTTGTCGGAGTGGACAACAAGTATACTGCCTGCCTGTCTTGAGCTCGTCAGCCCCTGCAGCTGCATGAGTCGGGAAAAGCCTCCAGCTTGACGTTTGATCCAAGAACTTGGGACTTGCCAGCTTCTATAAGTGTGTGAGCCGTTTTCCTAAGATAAATTTCTTTTTTTCTCTCTCTGTATAAGCTCTATTGGTATTGCTTCTCTAGAGAACCCAGTCTAACACAACGATGTTGTGGAAGCACCCTGACTGTGGACTCCACCACCTCTGTCTCTGTCACTGCAGCTGAGCTGGCCAAATGCGGCCAGAGAGAAACTCCCAGCTAAGCCAGTTCATTGTCTTAGAATTCAGTTGTAAATTCCCAGTGAGCTCGCAGCATTGCCCGGCACTGCTCTGGTAGGCTGCCTTTTCACTTCCCGAGGTGAAGTGGTTTCGCACCTTCTCCTTGCACCCCCATACCTTTGCTCTCAGTCTCCGCTGATGACCTCCCTGTGCCCCGGAGCAGATGGCGGCGTGGGATACAGATGCCCTCCAACCCCTCGCTCCCAAGCCTACCTCCTACTCTCAACCTCACCATCTCCTCCTCTTCCCTCCAGCTGTGCCCAGGGCACCATGACCCTGTCACTCCCTCAGGCCCTTTCCACCCATCAGCCCACCTCTGCTGCATTAGGTCGTTGCTCCATTTTCTCCAATGGGCTTCGGAGAACCCCCTTTGAGCCATCTCCCTGTGCCCGGTGCCCTTTCTCCTCTTCCAGGTATAACTTCTCAGAGGAGCTGTCTCCCTTTGCTTTCTCTGCTTCTTCATCTTTTAATTACTGTTTTTCTTTAAGAAATGTTTGATTTCCTTATATTCGTATTGTGCCATAAGGCCTCTGTGCACGTTTTAAAGACGTAAACAAAGTTTACCTGTGTACTTACCATGTGGACCAAGACACAGAAGGTTACCGACATCCTGGGAGCACCCTCTTGTGCCCCATTTTAATCCCATTTCCTCTTTTCTCCTGAGAGTTAACCACTGTCCCACGTCCCTTCCCCTCGCTTGTCTTTATGTTTTTCTCCAGTCGTGTGTGCCTTCCTCTGTACTGTCTGACTGAGCTTCGCCTGTTGTTTACTTCCATGGATTTGGATTCATATTACTTGCTCTGCCTTGTTTCTTAGACTCATCCATGTTGATTTTTGAGCTATAATTTCATTTTCACTGCTGTATAATTTTCCATAGTTTGAGTGTGACACAACTTACCTATCCATCCTACTATTGCTGGACAAAAAGGAGCCCTGTTGGCACAGTGGTTAAGTATTTGTCTGCTAACCGAAAGGCCAGTGGTTTGAACCCGCCAACCTCTCTGTAGGGGAAAGATGATGCAATCTGCTTCCGTAAAGATGACAGCCTTGGAAACCTTATGGGGAAGTTTCACTCTGTCCTCTAGGGGCTCTGTGATTTGGAATCGACTCCATGGGAGTGGTTACTTGTTTTGGTTTTTAATTTGATAGACATTTTGGTTCTTTTCAACTGTCGTCTCCAAAATGCACCGCCCCCGTGGTGGCTTCACTGAAACTATGTTTGTCATTGTCACTGATGTTCCCAAATCAAATGAGCACTGTGAAATCCCCTTTTCACTCTTCCTCCCAGGTTTCTCAGGGTTTGCAGCAGTTTTTCAGCGATGTGTCTGTGTACGTTGTGGGGTTAAAACAGTCTGTCCTCTCGGGTTCTTGACCATGTGATGTTGTTTCTTCATTGGGTTTAGAGCGCCCTCAGCCACTGCTCTCCACACTTTACTTCTGCCCTGCGCTTCTTCTCCCTCCGGGACCTTTTCATCGCATCCTGTATGTCCTTCATGCTCTTTCCTGTATTTTCTATCCTTTCATCTCTGTGTGCTTCAGTTTGGATATTTTCTACTGATTTCTCTTCCTTTTCTACTGACTAATCCTGTCTTTGGCTTTGTCTGATTTAATGTTAAGCCATCAATTGAATTTTTAAAAATATTTTTTCAGACGTAGCATTTCCATTTGACTTTAGTTTTGAGTCGAGTTTTCTGCTGAAGCACTCTACCTTGTTCTGTTTTCGTGCACACGTTAATCCCCGCCCTCATCAAGTCTGTGTCTGGTGAGGGCAATCTGTGGATCATTTGCGGGTCTCGTTCTGTTGATTCTTTTCCCCATTTGGGTGTTTTTGTTGTGCCTCGCTATTTCTCACTGAACGCCCGATACTGTATTTATGAAGTGTAGAAAGAATTTGTGGCTCCAATGGAAACTTCCTCTGCAGAAGATTGGCTTTTGCTTCTGACAGGCCTCTGGCTAGGGGCATGTCACCCGCCTCAGATTGACTGGAACTGATTTTCAGTTTTTGTGAGGTCAGAAATCCTAATGTAGGGTTTGCAGGGTCTTGGACTCTGTCCTCTTTTAGAAAGAAATCGCCAAAGAGATGAGGACTATCTCACGGCAAGACCAGGAGATCAAAAACACCTCGACTGCCTGGATTTCAGTGTATTCCTTCAGGTCCTGACTAAAGCACCTGCTTTGCTCATCCTCATCTCCTCTGGCTTTTGTGTCGTCCTGATAGTGATTCTCAGACCCGGGCCCTGTCGTCTGCAGTCCCACAGGAAGGCAGCAAGCAGGACGCGGGGGACAGGGGTGCAGATGGGCAGACACAGCAGGAATGGATCCTGGAGAGCCTTTCTCCCGCCTCGTTCTCCATGCTGCTTCCTGTGCCCTCTCACCTCGGGCTGCAGCCACCCACTCCCCCCCCCCCCAGCACTTCAGGACACACCATCCATCTCTGGGGGTCATGCCCATTTTTCTTGTTTAGTTTCTGGATTTCGCATTGCGCTGGCCTCATAGTTTCTGCAGAGTTGGTATTTGGGAAGGAGGCCAGCAGCCCGGGCTAGTTCTCCGTCTTGGCAGAAACCAGAACCCCCGTGCATTCCTTCTCAGGCACCTGTGGCTCTGTCATGTTAGAAACGCGCGCACAGCAGTCTTCGTCCGAAAGGACAGAGAATAAAGGTTGTTGGTGAATTTCAACATTCAGGTGATAGGTTATAATAAAGGCTGCATAAGGAACAGACTTGGGACTTTTAATTTTACTAGTATTTAAATTATATACCAATTGCTTACCAAATGCCTTTTATATGTTATATGTCTGCTCAGTACTTTATTTTAATTAAACACATTGTTTAGTTTTAATAGTCAATTTACCAGAGAGAAAACGGATCATGTAACATTTTTCCCTACTTTCTATTTCAGAACTACCTTACTTTTAATCCAACAAATAATAAAGAATTGGTGAGCAGTAGTAGAACACGGGCCATATATTATTCATGGGTAAGTGGATATAGTTGTATGTTAAATCTGGGTACAAGTATATGCTCACATATGGGTGTTTTGGTAATGGAACAATATACAGTAAAACTTGTGAAAGCCAGAACCTGTATAAGGCAGAAACCTGTCAGACAAGGAAAACACATATTTCCCACTAATAACAAGTGATAGAAAAGCGGTAAGACTTCACCCTGTCAAAGGCAGGAAGCTTTTGATACCCAGAAAAATAGGGCAGTCCTATTGAGTTCCGGCTCTCACAGGGTTCACTGTAGTATCTACTACTTAGAGAACCATGAATATATATTAAAATGGTTTTAATTTAATCATAGTGTTTATTTTAATCTCATTGGAAATTATTAGCATATTAAATCAGAAGCACATCATTTCAATTAAATTCAACATTTTTTAAAGTAGTGAAGCAGATACTTATTTGAGTTCTTGATAGGTGTGAAATGTAGGGTTGTGGGAGCTTGCACTTTGTCCTGCTTTGGAAAGAACTTGGCAAGCAGTGAGGAGTGTGTGCGCTGGCCCAGGAAGACCAGGGGGTTCGAGACACTGCGACTTCTGGTTTTCAGTGACACTTGTTGCTGCAGATATTGATGGCCACAGAGCCTTGTTCTTGTAGGATCCACATTTGGAGTCCCTACCATGCGCAGTCACAGTCACCTGGGCGTTTTTCGCATCTGCTCTCCTCTCAGAATGCTTCTGGATGTCCCCAGAGGCGGCAGGTTCTCTTACCTGTGGCATTTGCCGCACTCTGGCCCTGTTCCCGGGCCTCTGTTTGGACTTTGTTGTTATGTTGTTCCTCTTTTGGAAACCAGGTCTTTTTAGAGCAGGTGATGATTTTTATCTGTATTTCGCAGTGTGAAGAGAAAAATACACTTGTTCACAGTGCCCCACTTTTAACAGAAAAAGTGAGTATGTCTTTTGCAATTTTATACATCAGATTCTGTGGAAACTGTGTGTAAGCTTATGTGGGAGCCCTGGTGGCATGCTGGTTAAGAGTTTGGCTGCTAACCGGAAGGTCAGCAGTTTGAACCCATGAGGCGCTCCATGGGAGAAAGATGGGACTATCTGCTCCCATAAAGATTATGGCCTTGGAAACCCTGTGGGACAGTTCTACTCTGTCCTCTAGGGGTGATCTGAGTCAGAATCGACTCAGTGACAGTGGGTTTGTTTTGGGCTTTTCTTCAGTAAGGATCCCAGCCTTGGCAACCCTGTGGGACAGTTCTACTCTGTCCTCTAGGGGCGCTGGGAGTCTAAATGCACTCCACAGCAACAGGTTTGGGCTTTTTGGTTTTGTTTTGTTTTCAGTTAACGGGTTTGGGCCATTATTTGTATGTCTTCATATTAAATCTTTGGGAAGGAAATTTGAAAGATTTCATTGGGGTCTTTATCTATATTGAATTGTGATTGAGAATAATGGAACGTATTGTTAAAAGTAAAATATTATAGAGGAAAAAGTTACTGTCGTGAGAAAATCTCCCAGAGAAAGGTGAGAGCTGTTAGGATGTATGCGTGTGATTCACAAATGATGAGAGTTAATTTGGAGTGATGTCAACAGAAGAGTTAAACATGAATGGATCCCCTTATAAAGCTGCTCAGTTTCAGACTAATAAAAAAATGACCGTGGCTGAGATCACCTTTAAACCTGAAACCAGAAACATCCGCTGAAGTCTGAAAACTAGACGGTAGTTGAGCTTAGCTTGTGAGGACTGTCTGCCTTGAGTGTTGTGCCCTTTGTAGGTCTGTCCGTGTGGGGTCAGACTGATCAGACTCACACCGCACCCCAGAAGCTCGGACGGGAACCTCAGGAGGCAGTGAGTCTGTGTTAATGGGGATGGAACAAGTTGGCAGAGAGGGTGAGCATGGTGGCACAGCTCACAGAATGTCGCCCATGCCACTGAGTCACTCGTGTGAAGCGGGGGACTGGGGCCTGTGTTGCTGTGTGTGTTCTCAACAACAGCAACAGCAAAATAAATTTAAAAAAATGACACTGGGTGTTTAGAGGCTTGAGGGCAAGGTGTGACACAGGTGTCGGAGAGGAAAAAACATTTTATTCTCCTCATTTACCGGAGCGTCTGAGGTGGGTGACGAGGTTTGTGGCCCCCATCCCCCTCACAGACACATTTTCTGCAGTCGTATCAACTGCCCTGTTTCATATTTATTGCCAGCAGTAAGCCGTAACTCATCTCTTGAAATGCAGACGTTCAACAAGCTCGTGGGCAAGTTCAGCCAGTCAGTGTTTCACCCGAAACACACACAACTGCTGTCGGCAACGACGGAAGGGAAGCTGGTGGTCTGGGACATCCACCGCCCCCCGCTGGCCGCCACCAGCTCTCTGGACTTCCCCTATATCAAGCCCTGTAAACTGGTGCATCTGCAGAAGGAGGCCATCACGGTGCTCACGACAGTTGATAGGTAATTAACTTAATGACAGTGTCGCTGACGGGGTGAATGCCCCTTGGGGTGTGTGCACAGTCTGTATGTGCAGAGACTGTTTCTGGGGAGAGTCACGGTTAACTGGGCACATTGGCTGCCACCAAGGAGAAGAACCAGGAGCTCTGATGGTGCAGTAATAAGACATTACCTAACTGAGAGGTCTGTGGTTCGAACCCCCCATCCACTCCGTGGGAGAAAGATGACGCAGTCTACTTCTGTAAAGGTTCCAGCCTTGGATGCCCTATGGGGTAGGTCTACTCTGTCCTGTAGGGACACTAAGAGCCAGAATTGGGTCCGCAGCAACGGGTTTGGGTTTTAAGGAGAAGCCCTGAGAACCAGGATCAAGACCAGGGGTGGATGTACTTTGATATCCCTTTTGTACTAACTGGAGTTTTAGAAAATCTTGGGCATGTATAACATTTTTGAAAAGTCCTTTTGCGTTGGTAAAACACAAAGTAACTGATGTTTTTTCCATCTGCATTAAAAGCTAGATTTATTTTGTACACCAAACTCTACACATTTTAAGTTAGAAAAATAATGTGAAAGCTGTATATATATATATATATATATATATATATATATATTTTTTTCCTGATTACAAAATAGCATTCACATATGAAAAGAGAGAATAAAACCAAACTTCATACAGTTCTCCAATTCTGGTTTCTAGAGACTGTGTTGTTGTTATGTGCTGTCGAGTTGGCCCCGACTCATAGCGACCCCTCCTTTGTTTTCCGAGGCAGTATCGCTACGGAAGTAGATTGCCCTATCTTCCTTCCGAGGAGTGGCTGGTGGGTTTGAACCTCCAGGTGCCTTAGGCACTGTGCTACCAGAGCTCCCATAATGCTGTATGTATAAGTTAATTTAAAAATAATTGGAAGCCATTATTGTCCAGTAACATCACTGAGGTTTGTTGATCAGATTAGCTCAACATTCTTATGGAATGATAGAAATTATCTGCAAATGGTGAAAGGGGCACACATAATAAATAACCTTGAACAAATTAGAGCCCCCCCCCAAAAAAAATCAGATTCACTGCCGTCGAGTTGATTTGACTCATAGCGACCCCTCCTTGGGTTTCCGAGGCGGTATCACTATGGAAGTAGATTCCCCAACCTTCCTTCCGAGGAGTGACTGGTGGTTTGAACTGCCAGCCTTCTGGTTAGCAGTCAAATGGCTTAGGCGCCACGCTACCAGAGCGGTGCATGCACTGGTTGACACCATGTCAATTCTGAGTCGCGGTGACCCCTTATGAGTCTGAGTTGAGCCGCGCTCCGCAGGGTTTCAGGGCTGATGCTTTGAAAGCAGATTCCCAGGCTTCCCTCTGAAGCACCTCGGGGTGAGCTCAAGGCTCCAGCCTTTCAGTGAGCAGCCGAGTGTGTTAACCGTTCGCCCCACCCAGGCCTCTGTGGGGGCCTTCGCCTCAGACAGAACAAGGTTTATGTTGCAGCTGAATCTCTTACTGACAGAGCCGAGCCTCTGTTTTTCTGCCTGTGAAATGGGCATGACTGAGCTCTCCATCTCAGCACGGTTTTATGAGGATTTTGTGAGACAGCTCGGGTGACGCTGGTGTGCTGCCTGGCCAGCGCTGGATAGCGGCCATCATGAGTGGGTCTAGACAAGTTCCTGGAGGTGTGCAGGGGACCTTGCCATGTGGACGGAGTCGCTGGGCCACTTGCTTTCAAAAAGCCTGCTTACGTTCATTTTCCACTCTCTTAACACAGGGCAACAGTGAGGTCCAGGCAGTTTTGCAAAGAAAAACGCAAACTGATGTCCTTACCCAAAGGTGCTGAAGGACATAAGTAGAACTGCAACTGGCCGTGCAATTCACTTTTAATTAGCTGGGGGTTAAGAAAGCCAGTGCAGACCTGGTGCTGGTTCTCGTCTCTCCGAGTGATGTAAAACCCAGCCCGGACCACGAGCCCGGGAAGGAAAGGCCTTTCTGAACAGACTTGACGGAGCTCTGGTGATCCAGTGGTTAAAGCATTCAGCTGCTAACAGAAAGATCAGCTGCTTGAACTCCAGCCTCTCGGTGGGAGAGAGATGAGGCAGTCTGCTTCTATAAAGATTTACAGCCTTGGGAATCCTATGGGGCAGTTCTCCTCTGTCCTGTGTGGACGCTGAGTCCAAATTGAATCCACAGCAGTCAGTTTGGTTTGGTTTTGAACACACTTGACCTGCATTGCCACTTCTCTCCAGCAGAGGGCAGTGAAAGATGTTGTAGCCAATTACTCTGCCTGCCTGCCTTGCCCAATCAGAAGCCTCATTTAATCACTCTGCAGATATTAGGGAAAATGCATCCCCTTTCTCCCTTCTGGGACTAGAATTATGTCAGACTCTTTAAAAAAGGCCCATTTGGGATGGATCTGAGCAGAGGAGAGGAAAGCCATTTTGTCACGCGGTGCTGCCTTCGGCTGTTATGACCGACCAACCAGGGTTTTTACGACCACTCCAACCCCAGCAGCTTCCCAGGAAGGGGCCTGTGTGGTTTCTGAGGGCTGGGAGAGAGACCCTCTGTGGGGCATCTATAGTCACTACCCCCCCCCACACACACACACACTGCTTATGGCTGGGAGGGGGAGCTGGAAGAAGGGGTGGTAACCCCAGCTCCAGATACCCTGCGCTCACTGCATTGCCCCACCATGTCGACCAGGAGGGATGCCAGACAGACGCGTGTCACTTACGGTGTCTGGGACACGATTATACTGGAGGATTATTCCTTGTTCATCCAAAATTCAAATTGAATGGGGCGCCCTGTGTCTTTATTTGCTAAACCTGGCAGCTCTTAGTCCTGGGCACAAGGTTTTAACTCTCTGAGCCTTAGTTCTAGATCTAAATGACTCAGCGGTCAAGTCAGCCTCACAGGGTGGCATGAGACACCGTGTGCCGAAGCCTGGGGGCCGGGGCCTGGTGCAGGACCGAGGGCCCAGTAGGCGGCCTGCTCACTTCCATTTGCGACCACACTGCTGTCATTCTCCATTTCAGCTACATTGTCACCGGTGACATTAAGGGGAACATTAAGTTCTACGATGGCACCCTGTCCATTGTCAACTGGTTTAGCCACTTCAGACTGAGCCCCATTCGGACCCTGTCCTTTTCGAAGACCTCGCCACCTCCTCCTACAGAAAAATCAAACTACCCACCAGACTGCACTTTGAAAGGCGACTTTTTCATCGTGAGGTGAGTTGTCCATGAATCTAGTTGTTGGGACCCCTTCCTACCCCTCTTTTATCTCTCCTGGCCGATCACAATCACCAATCATTTGAAAATATTAGACATTATTGGAATATTAGGACCGGAGAAGAATTGATGCCTTTGAATTGTGGTATTGGCAAATAGTGTTGAATACATCGTGGGTGGCCAGGACGAGCAGATCTGTGTTGGTGGAAGAACAGGCAGAATGCTCCTGAGATGTGAGGAGGTGAGGCTGGCTCTCACGGGCTTTGGGCACGTCATCAAGAGGGACCAGTCCCTGGAGCAGGACGTCATGCTTGATAAAGGCGAGGGTTGGCGAAAAGGAGGAAGTCCTGAACAGGAGGGATTGACGCAGGGCCTCCTTGAACGTGGCAGTGCCTGTGAGGACGCCGCAGGAAGGCACAGTGTTCTGTTCTGTTGCGCACGGGGTCACTGTGAGTGGGAACCGATGCGATGGCACCCAGTGGCAACAAGGCTCTTCTGTGATAGGATAGGAGCTAGAAGCTTGAAGGCCTTCATGCACGCGCACTGGCCTGTGTCGAGCCTGGAGTTCTCGCCTCGGTTCCCCTCTCTTCCGAAAGCTGTGCTTGTCCTAGACACAGTGCAGAAGACGGTGGATAGCCGACAGCCATAATATCTCAAGACAGGATTGTCTGTGACTCTGCTTAGTCGCCCTTGCAGTATTTACAGGCACATCTGTGTGTGCGCCCTGCTCTGTATTTGCATACACAAATGAACATTTGCATGTGCACATTAGCTAATTGTACAACTGACTGTCCATCTGCATACTTAATGACTCAATTTACATGTAGGAACGTGGGCTTCTTCCTTGGCAAATGGAGGCTGTTGGGTGTATTTTTGGAGACGCTGGGTTAATAATGTCACTAAATTACAGACGACAGAGGCGGCTCGCGTGCAATTAGAGGCAGAATGGCTGCTGCATCCCGCTCCCTGCCAACGCTGACGCGGTCTGCTCTCTCCCTGGCAAACAGAAACTTCATCATCGCAACGTCTGACGCCACGGTGTATCACCTAACGGCAGACGGGACCAAGCTGGAGAAGTTGTTTGTGGAGCCCAAGGATGCCATCTGTGCGGTCGCCTGCCACCCATACCAGCCCCTACTCGCCATTGGGAGCTTCTGCGGGATGGTCAAAGTGTGGGACTACGAGAGTAAGACCTACCTTTTCAGCAGAGTCTTTGAGAAGGGCCTTGGGGTCCAGAGTCTGACCTACAACCCAGAAGGTACGTCCATTTTGTCAGGCTGTTGGAGGCTCCCAGTGGAAGGCTCCCCTCAGTGGGCTCTGCCTGTCATTGTCTGCCCCAGCCAGTTCCCTCCCCCGGTGCCGTCCCCATGATCAGTTGCACAATGGACTGTTGGGACCTGCAGGGTTTTCACTGGCAAATTTTGGGAAGGAGACTGCCAGGCCTTTCTTCCTAGCATGCCTTAGTCAGGAAGCTCTGCTGAAACCCGTTCAGCTCATAGCCGTGCTCGGGCCTCCCTGACCGGCTGGATGTGGGTGGGCCCCTCAGCGTCCCACAGCACTCCAAGCCTCGCACACAGAGCCCTCGTCTGTTACAGTCACTCCTGCCTCCTCAGCACCTAACTAAGACCTGGCACTGGCAGTGCCGTGAGCCCTTCTCCATCGCCATTCTCTGGCTTGTGATTCCAGGAGCCATCCTTGGAGCCGGCTTCACTGAGGGGACGGTTTACATCCTTGACGCCATGTCCTTAGAAAGTGAGAGCACGGAGCCGTTCAGATATTCCCGAAGCAGCGTGACCCACATCAGTTTCTCCCATGACTCCCAGTACATGGCCACGGCGGTAGGTGTTTCCCTGAGTCCAGCCCTGGGCTGAGCGGCTTTCTTTAAAACCAAGACAGAGCGCGGCTGGGGCTTGGGGGTGACTGCTGATGAATCAGGGTTCTTTTTGGGGTGAAGCGCTCTGGAGTTTGGGAGTGAGGAAGGTGATACAGCTCTCAGCATGTACTAAGAACCATCAAAGTGTACACTTCTGGTGGGTGAGTTACATGACGTGTGAATTTGCTCTCAATCCAGTGGTTAGAAAAAGCAAGAAAGGAGGAGCCCCAAAATGAGACCAGGTCCCAGAACCTCCCTGCTTGGGTCCTGTGCCCGGCTGCTCCTTCGGGTTTAGGCTTCTCTGCACTGGTCGTCTGTTTTTCCTGTGACCTTTTGACTAGACCACAAGCTCACTTAAAGCAAAGTCCTGCTCACAGTTTTGGGTTCTGTTCCTCTCCACGGTAACCTGGGCTTGTAGGCTCGGTAGCGACCTTCGGTTCCTCCGGCCTCACCTGTCTGCTGTTCCTCCGGCCTCACCTGTCTGCTGTTCCTCCGGCCTCACCTGTCTGCTGTTCCTCCCGGTCTGCACTGTGCTTGCTTGCCCTTCATGGTGGCTTGTTTGCCCTTCATGGTGTGCGTGGGGGGGAGGCACACAGCGTTTGCATGTAAGCCACGGCCCCTTTGAGCCCTTGATTTCCCTTCTGGTGGTTTTGTGTCTGCTAATCTAGTTTCCCTTCCCCCTTACTTTGTCATCTTTGTTTTAAAGTTGTTGACCATTTGGTCTCATAAAAAAACCAAAAACCGCACTCACTTCCATCAAGTCGGACCCAACTCATAGCGACATCTCCTTGGGTTTCTGAGGCTGTATCTCTATGGAAGTAGGTTGCCCAACCTTCCTTTCAAGGAGCGGGTGGGTTTGAACCACCAGCCTTCTGGTTAGCAGTCAAATGCCTTAGGAACCACACCACTAGAGCTCCTATTTGGTCCCATGGAAGTGAATTTTTCAAGGAGCTCAGTGCTTACGGACAATATCCTTTATTTTGTGAGCCAGTCTGTCATTAGTTGGAAGGTGACCTTGGATGTGTTGGAGTTCAAGGCCCAAGCAGTGTCTCGGGGGTTGTCTAGGGGTCTTCCAGTCCCAGCTGCTCCAGTGTGTCTTAGCAATGTGAGGTTCTGTTCCACATCCCTCCCGCTCTGTTGGGCATCTGTTGAGTTCGCAGCACTTGCCGAGGCCACAGTGTGCCCCCTTCTGCCCGAGCACACGTCCACACTCTTGCCTTCTTTCCTTTATGTAGCTGGGAAAGAAGAGGGGAGGCAGAGACTCTAGCGCTTGGTTTTCCGCAGAGAATGAGGTAGGGACTAGGAAAGGGTGAGGCCATAGCGTCAGGTAAGAACTGTCCCCTCCACCCCCTTTGTAACTATCTGCTTTTAACCCTTATTTTCTCATCTAGAAAATAGGCATTATTTTACTCCTGGTTCCAGTGTTCTCTGAACTTTTTTTTTAAATAAGATATTCTAGAGGTAAATTAGTGTGAGGATGTAATGGTGACCTTTAAGTTCCGGGATTAAAAGGAGGAATCACTTGTGCTGTGTTGCTCCCGCTCAGGATATGTCTTACACTGTGGCCCTTTACCGGGTGGTCGTCAGGCACGGCCGGAGGGTCTGGGAGTACTTAGCCAGGCTCCGCTCTCATCGCAAAAGCATCCGGAGCCTCCTGTTCGGGGTGCACTTGGACAGCAACGAGCCCCGGCTGCTGAGCCTCGGGAAGGATCGGCTTCTGGTGAGTCCTCGGTGCCTGGCCACTCAGACTGTGTCTGTCGTTCCTGTCACACGTGTCCCGTGGCATCTGGCACAGAACCTGGCATGCAGGACATGTGCTGGACAAAATGAATGCAGACGCGGTGAGGGGAGCCTCTCAGTGTTGCCACTTTCCCTGAATGTGGCTGTAACTCTGCACAGGGGCACACGGCCTGAGTGAGGGGCTCAAGGGAAACGGCATGTTGGGAGACAGGGGAGGGGGTGTTCCCCACGTCCCAGGAGGTGGCGTTCCCCACGGCATGGAGGTGTGGACCCTGGGAGGCCGTGTTCCCCATGGTGTGGATGCATAGACCCTGGGAGGCAGCATTTCCCCTTGAGTGGGTACATGGACCCTGGCTGCATTTGGAAAGTGGGCTCTCACGGTGCTTTCATTGTGTCCAGAGCCTGGAGCCAGGCTGTTCCCTAAACGTAAAATGGGACAAAAAGGGAAGGCAGAGTAGCAACAAGAGATGACATGATAAAGCCGGCGGATTCTCGATCAGTCATCCTTCAGTCACCTAGCAACTGCTCACACTGTCTGTCCTTCTTTTCTCCCTTCGATCCATCCATCCGTCTCTCCATTCGTCCGTCCTGCTCAACCCACCAGAACAGCTTGCAGGTGGCCTTTGGCTGTCCAGTGCTGAGTGTGAGACATCAGTCCCACCCTCAGGGGCCCCCAAGACTTGGGCAGCCAATGAAGTGGTCAAGCAGGACTGAGAGGCCAGGCTTTGTGGTCAGTTGGACCTAACTTGGCAATCTTGCTGTACTGTGTCATAGCTGTGTGACGTTGGACAGGTCACAGAGCCTCTCTGAGGCGTCTTCTCATCTGTAAGACAGGCAGGGGAGGCAGGCGTGAGGATTAAATGGCACAGTGTGCGTGCTTCACCCCTCGTCTGGCTCACTGTGGCATCCAGAGTCAGGAGCTGGTTGGGAACAGGGCCTCACCGCGGCTGGAATGAGGGATGGCTTGTTGGTGGAGCGTTGGAGAGCTGTCACCGTGATCCAGGGCCCCTGACTGGGCTTTTCACTCTGCTCGGTCCTCACACGTCGACCTGGGCTCCTCTGCAGATCGAGTACAATCTCCTTAAGACGTGCAGAGACCACCTGGAAGTGCTGGACATTCACCGGACCGACCAGGGCTGCTACCCGACCTGCATGCTCTGGTACCCCCCACTCACCAAGGAGCTCTTCCTGCTTGTTTGCAACAGTGGCTACAAAGTGAAGCTCTTCAATTCCACCACCAAAATGTGCAGGTGAGCACCGGCGGTGCCCCGATACCGCTGTGAGTCGGCGTCCCGGCCCCGGCCTCACGGTCCCGCCGGTGTCCTGAGGGCAGCTGGGCGCTGGTGGTGGCCTCCCCATTTTGCAGAGGGGAGCACTGAGGCACAGGCTGTGGAAGTCATTGTCACCCGAGGCCACTGGCAAGGAAGTGCCATGGGGGAATTCAGACCCAGAGGCCGGCTCCTGAGCCTGCTGCAGTACCCAAGAAGGGACCCAGAGCCTCCAGCGCCCCTGGAGCCCCACAGAGAGGTCCCAAACGCCCCTAAAAACTCCTCATCCTCTCTCGGGGCGGGAGACAGCACAGGTGTTCACCTGGACACCTCACACTGTTTGGTGTTTTGCCCTCGTGCTCTCCAAGGAGCTTCATTGGCTCGTTCGCCGTTTTCTGAGCCCTGTCAGGGCCCTGTGCTGGTCCAGGCCTAGAGACAGTGTCTGTCCTTGTGGAGGTGGCATCCCCGTGCGGAGGGGTGATGCGCTGGACGAACAAACAAGTCGCTAGTTTGTAGGCGTATGGTCATCAGGGCTCTGCAAAAAATAGACAGATGCAGGTCACAAGGGGCAGAGGGGCTGCTGCTTTACAAAGGGGGCGCAGTGGACAGAGACTTGAGGCGAGTGATGGAGGGAGCTGGGAGTGCGGGCTGACGTGCGAGGGAGCTGAGGTGGGAAGGGGTGAAGACCAGCAGTGCGTGGGGGGTGGGGTGGTGGTGGGAGAGTGGCTGGGCTTTCCCCTGTGGCGATGGGACCCTGTCGGGGAGCTTGAGCAGAGTGCTGTGCTCTGACCTGGGTTTAAAAATGGCGCCTGGCTTCTGTGTGGAGGCTGGACTCTGGGAGCAAAGGTGGAAGCCAGGCTGAGGGGGCTGTGTGAGGAAGACGAGGTTGAGGACGGCAGGCTGTGCTCAGGGAACTGACTTTCTCACCTGCCTGAGCGCTCAGAAGGAGGAGGGAGCGTTGAGGGAGACCAGCCCCAGGCGGGCTGGGGACTGGTTAAGCTGAGGCGCCTACTCTTGGTCCAAGTGGGAATACGCGCATTAGGCCCTGGCGTGTTCGTGGGAGAGGAGGGGCTGGAGACCCAAATGTGGGTGGGTTAAAGCCCGAGGCAGGAGCGGGTTCCAGAGAGGACATAGATGCGGTGCAGGGAGCCAGCCCAGGGCATGCAGAGGTCTCCACGCAGCAGCTCCTCAGTTCCCAGGCAGGTCTGCGTCGGGGCGGCCTCCGTGCGGGTGGCCTGTGGGCCCGAGTTGGCTTCCCGTGACGAGTGCTGGCTCTGGGGCAGCCCCGGCTCCTCTCCAGCAGCCCTGCAGAGCATTGCTGCCTTCGGGGCGGCCGCCTCACTTGCCCGGCACCAAGCAGCTGCCAGGCCGAGCTAGGACTTGAACGAGCCGTGTGTGACTGTCCTCCGCTGGCAGCCCTGGGCCTACGTGTGCCCTGGCGGTGGGTCCACCCTGGCCCCGAGCTTTGCTCGCTGCCTGTGGTTCTGGCTGCCTCATGAGCAGGAGGACAAGGGGAGGCCCCCAGGGAGGGAAAACAAGAAGTGAGGTGCTGGGTGAGCCCGCCTGGGAGAAGTTGGGGGAGCTGCCCCAGCGGGTGGTCTGCACTGGGGAAGGTCACGTTTGAAATGCGTCTCAGGTGAGCTGGGTCTTCACAAGGCAGAATGGCCCAGGCTCCTTTTGTTTGTTTGTTTAAGTTCTTTTTCAAGTCGGCACAGGGGACAATGACTGAGGAAGGGCTGTCGCTTGGTGCGGTGGGAGAGAAGTCTGGCATGGCTTTTTTCTGTGAGCCTTTAAAGCAGTGGGAGAAGTTTGAAAGCAAACTGTAAACAGGAGTCTTGGGAGGGTCTCCAGACTTCTATGTATTTATTTTTAATTGTGGTTTCAGTGGGAGTTTGTTTTCAGAGAGAGTTAATTTTCCATTCAAGAATTTATGCACGTTTGGTTTCACGACACTGGCTGCAAACCCCTCAATGTGACAGCATGCTTCCCGCTTCCTCCCTGGGCTCCCCATTAGTCCTTCTTTCCTGCTCCTTCCTGCCGTCTCAGCTTTGCTTTGGGGCGAATGCTGCCCTTTGGGTCTCCTGTGGTTGATTGCTCCGAGGAGCACGTTCCTCACAGGTGTCACTGTTCACCTCATGGGCCTGTCTGTGGTTTGGCTGACAGGTGATCCCGGGGTGGGTCATATGATATTTTTAATGGACAAAAACTGTTTGAATGAAAACCATCCCACAGATATGACTCACCCTGGAAAAATTCTGAATTTGCTGAGCAGGTGAATTCAGGCTGTAAGTACAGTAGTCACCTAGGAGAAGAGGCAGGAGGGGCTTAGAACCACACATTGAAGAGGCTCTGCTCACTGCCGTCAAGGTAAAATTAGCATAAAACAAAAACTTACTGAGAACCTGTCCACCAGTGTTCATCACAGCACTATTCATAGCCAAAAGGTAGAAGAATCCTGGTGGCCATCAGCAGAGGAAAAAATAACCCAAATGTGGTTTATCCAGACAACAGAATGTTTTCAGCTGTAAAGAGAAATGAAGTCCTGACACATTCTATGGCGTGGGTGGACGTTGAAAACATTACGCTGAGTGAAAGAAGTCAGTCACAAAAGGACAAGTACTGTCTGATCCCCCTCATGAAACAGACACATGTAGAGATGAAGTTTATTCGTGGTCCTCAGGGCTTGGAAGGAAGAGGAAGAAAGAGGCCTTCCTTAGGAGGCACCGAGTTAAAGGTGGTAGGACAATCTGGAAACAGGTAGTTGTGATGATTGTCCAACATGATGCACAAAACAGATGTCACTGAATTGTACAACTACAGTGTTGGATTGGCAAATGTTATATATATTCTTACCACAATAAAACAATTTTTAAAATAACTTACTGAGGTGAAGTTGGCCCGTTGTTGCTGTTAGGTGCCATCCAATGGGTTCCGACTCATAGTGACCCGTGGCCAACAGAGCACTGCACTGTCCCTCCTGCCCCATCCTCACAGTCATTGCTGTGTTTGAGGTCATTGTTGCAGCCACTGTGTCACATACTATAAAGTCAAGCTAAAATGCTATAACATTAATCGATGGAAGATTAATTCACATCCCGTAACATTAACCATTTTAAGGGAACAGTTCGGGGGCATTTAGTCCACTCACAGCCTTGTGTCTTCTCTCTAGTCCAGGACAGTCTCTCCACTCTAAGTCAACCCCTGCGCCAAGCTCTCCTAAGTCATAGGAATAAGAAAGCCTCCTAACCAAAGCTTCACTAGGAAGAAATTGCCTTTTCATGATAAATCCAGAAGAATTTTCAAACTGACATTTAAAAAATATTGAAAAGAACATGAAAAGGCGGTTCACAGGGAAAGAAAGCCAGTAAACCTCTGAGCAGCTGCTTGCAGCTACATCAAAGATGCAGATGAAAGCCAGACGCCATTTTTCACCAATCAGATTAGCGAAGATAAAAATGATTGATAGTCCTTAGTGCTGGCAAGGGTGTAGGCCCGGGAGGGGCTGTGTGGATCAGCACAGCCTTTGGGAGAGCCATTTCTCAGCCCCGGTTACATTTTATCCTGCCTCCCGACTCTAGGAACAGAGCTTGTAGAAGTGCACACAGGAGCATGCCAAGCATCAGAACAAGCGCATCTTGTTTGGAAATATTTTTTAAAAATGGAAACAATCCAAACGTCCATTAATGGAGGATTAGTTAAATGATGGTTGTTGGACCACTGTTATAAAAGAAAAAAAAAAAAAAAGAAAGGATAAGGTGGCTGTCTGTGTGGTAGCATAAAAGTATCTCCAAGACATAATACGAGATCAAGCAAGTTGCCGAGTAAGAATGAATAGTAGGATCCCATTTTCATATAAAAATTATAATGATACAGGTTATAATATGATAAGAGGAGCTCTGGTGGCGCAGTTCCTAAGGTATTTGACTGCTAACCAGAAGGTTGGTGGTTCAAACCCACCAGCTGCTCTGTGGAAGGAAGATGGGGCAATCTACTTCCATAAAGATTTATTGCCTTGGAAACCCAGTGGTGGTTGCTAGGAGTCGGAATCGACTCAATGGCAGTGAGTGAGTTAAGTGAGAGGTTATAATATGTGTGTGAGAAGACGTATGTAAAAGAAATTGTTGGTTGCACCCACTCTGACCTGTGACTGTCTTGGGGTCAGGAGTACAGCAATGTGGAAGTGTTGGTAGATTTTCTCCTTTACATGTGTCTAAATGTTTGAAATCCTGGTGGCATGATTCCAGCATTACAGTAACATCCAAGCCACCACAGTACGACACGCTGACAGCCACGTCATTCGAACAGAAGACGAAGATCTACAGAGTTTAAAATCAGGAAGGGAGTGCGTCAGGGTTGTGTCCTCTCACCATAATTATTCCATCTGTGTCCTAAGCAAACAATCCGAGAAGCTGGAGTATATGAAGAACGCGGCATCAGGATTGGGGAAGACTCATTTACAACCTGCAATAAGCAGGTGACACAACGTTGCTGTGAAGAAGTGAAGAAAACTTGAAGTACTTACTGATGAAGATTAAAGACTTCAGTATGGATTACACTTCAACATAAAGAAAACAAAAATCTTCACAACTGAACTGAAGCAATATGGTGATAAATGGAGAAAAAATTGAAGTTGTCAAGGATTTCTTTTTATTTGGATCCACAATCAACACCCATGGAGGCAGCAGCCAAGAAATCAGATGATGTATTGCACTAGGCAAATCTGCAAAAGACCTCTTTAAAGTGTTAAAGAGCAAAAATGTCACTTTGAGGACTAAGATGCGCCTGGCTCTGGCCATGGTATTTTCAGTCGCCTCGTAGGCATGTGAGAGCAGGACAGTGAGTACGGAAGACCGAGGAAGGGTTGATGCCTTTGAATTGTGGTGTTGGTGAAGAATACTGAAAACGCCATGGAGCGCCAGAAGAAAACAAGCCTGTCCTGGAAGAAGCGCAGACAGGATTCTCCTTAGAAACAAGAATGGCCA